TGACGAGATTTACAAGTATTAACATTAATCGAATAAGATGACTAATGTAATCATGTTAACAATCTATAATCTGATTGGAACCTCTTTTGTTTGTGGTTTTCAATTGAATAATAAGAGTTTATACTATAATTATTTGACATACCATTAGTGGAACTTCTAATCTTGACATTTGATATTATAATTATTTAATCCTTATATTAATATTTCATCTCAAAGTTCTCATCAACTTCTTTTTCATTTTCTTCTTCTATTATTATTATTGTTATTATTACTACTATTACTATTATTATTACTATTACTACTACTACAACTATTATTATTATTGTTGTTGTTGTTGTTATTATTCTTGTTGTTATATTATTGTTATCTATTATTTATACAATTAACCTCACTATGGTTCGACCCTGGTCTTGTTGGGTTATTTATTACTTTGACACTCCAACACTTGGGAGAAGATATCAATCTTTTAGTCGTGTCAGTATATGACCAAAGTCCCAGATTGGCTAGAAATGAGGAGGATCATGGGTATATAAGGATGGGTAAATATCTCTATTGGTATGAGATCTTTTGGATATAGCCCAAGAGCAAATCCATGAGAGCTTAGGTTCAAAGTGGATAATATCATAACAATATGGAGATAAGTGGTGTTCATAGTCCTTACACATCACTATCAACAGAGCATGCCATGATATAGGCCCAACAACCAACCATTAAAAAATTAAGTGTTTAGAACTCTGTGGCTTTCGTGTCTCTTAGAACAACTATTGCTATAAAAAACAATGTGTTATTTTTATTTTTACATAAAAAGATGAAATAAAATAGATAAAATAACATGAAAAAAATGGACCTTTACATGTATTTTGTTCAATAGAAAATTGACATATAAAATAAGATATTTAATACATCTTATTATAAATATAAGATTCTATAAATAAAAATTAATTAATAAAATAATATCATATTACATTTTTTTAATATGAAAGCCCTTATAAATATTTATAAATAAAAGATCTCATGCTAGAAAAAGAATGAGGAAGATTACTAGAGATACAAAACTATTTCATGATATGCTTTTCAAGAAAAAAGAAAAAAGAAAAAAAAAAGGAACTATTTCAAAAGCTATTTCTACTTTGACCTTCATCATTTCCTTCCTCATCATTGATAAAATAATATATTTAATATATCTTATTATAGATCTTTACATATATTTTGGTGTATGTTAACATATAAAATAAAATATTTAATATATCTTATTATAAATACAAGATTTTATTAATAAAAATTAATTAATAAAATAATATCCACTAACAATTTCTAGACCTTTCTTTGCAAAATACCACCGACCCGTATTGCGAGGACTGTATTTAAAATGGTAACCACAATAATAATTTCTAAAAATACGAGAAGCTATTTCTAATCTGGCTACGTGTGCATCACCATCCTTTGATTGGATATCATTTCCTTCCTCTTCATCCAACCATTGCACGCCAACGGTCCTTATTTGGATACCTGGACCAAGTAGCAGCACCGAAATACTCACGTCAACACCATTATCAAAGGTAGGATCACCGACCCCTAATTTCATGTGGCTTAGCGATTGGGTTTCACGAACACCACGCTTGTATACCATAGCGAAGACAAAGGCTTGACGAAGCAAGGATCGACCACTGGTATTGTTTCTGATTTCAATATAAACATTCCTAAAGCCACGGTATGCTGACGTCACACAACTTATGAACAGATTAAAGCCACATATCCGGTGCCCAGGAGGCGGTGAGGATATTTTGAATGAAAAGTTATCTACAAACTCATTCTGAATTAGCCATTTATCCTCTTCTTCCTCCTTATTAAACCCCCTTAACATCTCATCTTTATCAAACACAGATACGACAACGTTGAATATGCCATCCATTAATGTTATCTGTACCACCAAAACAATGTCTATAAAATGAGCAAAAGAAATTCAAAAGTAGATTTCCAAAACAATAAAATGGGTGAGGGAGGACCTGAAATCTCGATGGCTGTATTTGAGCACTAACCGTTTCCATTATTCTGAACATGTGAGAGTCTAACTTTTGGATTAATTCTTGCTTTATCCGATCTTGGAACTCGACTAAGTGATCAAAACCATTTCCTTCAGTCCAAATGTTTGGATTTGCAAGTCCTTGCAGTGAATGGCAAAGGGACACATCTAACAAATCCAAATGGGATGGAAGCTTTGGGAGTGCCTGAAGCATTTTGCAATTTCTTAAATATAGGGCTCTGAGTAGACCAAGATCCTTGATGCTTTCTGGAAGAAAACGAATTGGAGTTCCACTTAAATCTAGACTCTCCAAGAAGCGTGGCAGTGAAAACGAGGAAAATCTCAACATTTTCCTCGTTGAAAACCTAGAGGGAAAGAATAGCTTCAATGGAAGAGATGAAATGAATGATGTACTTGCAACAATTCCATCACTTTGAAGCAACTTGCGCCCCTGATGATGCTCTAACTCCATATTCAGGCTGT